AAAAAAAAAAAATTATTTAAATCTAAAGCACCCCACTTGCGTCACTACCAGAATGCAATGAAATAAACCCGAAAAGCAACAATAAACTCAAGTTGCCGCACTTCAAACAGCAGCAGACATTTCCACCATATTCCACAAAACACCCAGCCCGCGCATTTACTGTTGTTGCACTAGCAGCTGCTCCACCTGATCGGCTGTGCGCAGAAGAAATGCCGCGCTTTCCCGGTACGCCGAGATCACTTGACGCGCTGCCGTTATTTCGTTGGGAGTGAGTTTGTGCGCCAGCAATGGCGGCGCCCGTACTGCTGCCACATTGTTTGGATCGTTCAAATTGCCACCACCACCACCACCCAGCTGATTGGCGTTCAGACCTGTTGCCATGATTGCCTGCTGTTGCTGTTGTTGCTGCTGCTGTTGTTGTTGTTGCTGTTGCTGCTGCTGCTGTTGTTGCTGTTGCTGCAACTGCTGTAGCTGTTGTGTGGCTGTGACGAGTGCGTTGTTGTTGTTGACAGAAAGACCGCCACTGGCGACGAGGCTGGTAAGATTCTGTGCACCCACACCCATAACGCCGATGTTGTTGTTAGTGTTGACGGTGGTAGGGGCGGTGGTGAGTGTGACGCAAGCGCTAGTGGACGATGGTTTCATGGAGAGATCCGTGGGAGTGACTGTGGAGGGTAAAAATTTGAATTTGCATGAACTAAATTTACAGTTAAGAAATATTTTTCGTGCTTACCATTTCCCAGCCCGGCGACACCCGGGAAGTAGCCGGGATAAGTGGGTGTACGCCCAGCGGCTACTGCCGCAGCAGCAGCAGCCACGAATGGCGATGCTGCCGAGGGTGAAGTGAAGTCTGATGGCCGGTAAAGTGGACTAGTGGCAGGCAGGCCGGCCAACCCGCTCACTGTGCCATTTGTTGGCGCATTGCCGTTCGATAGTGCTGCCGTTAGCGGTTTTATGTCCAGCCCGCTAGTACTGCCGCTCACACTTGTATTCGAGCTCAATGCCAGCGGCGAGCTGCGCGCCGAGTTGATACCACCGCTGCCACCACCAGCCGTCGAGGCGGCTACAGCTGCGGCCGCAGCAGCTGCAACGGCAGCGGCTGGTGTCAACGAAAGTGGCTCGGCTGCATCGGAATTAGGTGTAGAGCGTGCAAAGCCACCACCGCCAGCGCCCATAAATGGCAGCGTAGACGTTGTGACGGTGGAGAGCGCATCGCTAGCCGAAACCGATGTCATTGTCGAAATGCCAACCCCACCTACGGAAGCGGACGAACTGGTGGCAGCCACTGCGGCCGCGGCTGCTGCTGCCGCTGCTGCTGCAGCTGCGGCGACCGCAGAGCCAGGCGCCGGTATGGCGTGTGTGATTGGCTCCAGGCCGATGCGCATGCGCTTGGCATTCATGGACTCATTCTCGCAAGCGATAGCTAGTATCTGTTCCGCCTGTACGGATGTCAAGTGCGCGGGTGTCGGACGAGTCTGTGCAGAATTGAGAGGCAAACTTTAGTAAATACACATTTTGTAAGTACTTATCTGGAGGCTGCTAGCTTACCGTGTTGTCCCAACCGTCGCGCGTTTTCTTGTTCCGCCGACATGACTTCAGATACGTGCGAATGCGTTTGCGTGAGCGATCACTGAATTCGGGAAATTGACGGGCGCAAGAGTCAATGATTGCTTGAATTTTCTCCTTTGGCTGTTTGGAAATTGGAACAATGCGATCGAGATTTTCATCCACGAACAGTCGCACGAACATCTATACAAGTACAATTCGAAATGACTCATTTAAGTTCAAGTTAAAGTTAAATTAAGTAACATTTGCTACTAACATTAAACGCCTTCAGCCGCTCGGGATCGTGTGTGGCCAACTTCTCGTCCAGTTTATCATCAGAATCATCCTCGGATGCCTCATCCTCCTCCTTCTGTCCCGACGAGTTTGTCTCATCTTGCGCCTCCATTGGCGAGGGGGCATCTGTGCGCGGCACTGGCGACAACGATGTATCCATTTTGTTATTGGCAGCATTTTGTGCCAAAGCATTCTGGTATTGTGCCCACAAGCCACCAACCACACCCAAATCGGGTCCCTCGGTGCCGTTGCGTACCGCATTGGAGTTTTGGTAATTCCAGGCCAGCAACATCAACTTTAATTTATCAGCATCCTTCATTAGGCCAGCGTAGGGATCCGATTCGGTGTTATTATCGCCGCCAATGCTTCCACCCACGGTGCCTGCTGTGGCGCCAATGCCCACAACACCGCCACCACCGCCGCCATTGCCGGACGCGTCCGTGGTGGTTGTAGTCGCTGCAGCTGGAATGGTCTCCTGAAAGGAAAGCGGAGAAGAAATACGAAACTGTTAGTGAGAAGAAGGCAAATAGAAAGTGAAGATAAAGCGAGGGTTAGACTTAAATAAAAAGGGCAGTTTTCATGACCCAAGTATGCAGCGAATTATTTGAGCGCACAAAACTCTTGAGGACAGAAAAAACTTTTACCAGCAACTGAGATTTGCTGGCGCTTGGCAAGTATCTTTGTTTTAGTACATTGAAGCTCGAAGAATTTGGTTGGCATTACAACCGCTGTACTCAGCTTGCCAAATCTTATTCAGTAAAACTTGGCAGCTTCGCTTACTATACTCGACTACTTTTGCAACTGCCATCTCCTTGTGTTCACCCTCACCGGTTTTTTTGCGTTTGAAGTCCTTTGCCAAATGAATGAAAAATTCTAAAATTTCACTTTGATTTACTATTGAAATTATTTGCACGCAAAACTTTTTCGTTGCAGAATGAGTGACGTGGTGGTAGAATGGTGGCTAACACATTTCACTGACCACTGACCGCTTACTTTGAGCGACAACCAATCAGCAGTCGAACCCCTCTGTCGAATACTAAGTTCACATTCAAAACGAGCTATCTACCGCCGGTTAAGCAATCTTCATTAGTCGCACACACCCACTCTGCATCGAATTTGTTATCGATATTGTTATTGGTTTTGCTATCGATATTTTCGGAACTTACCGATATAATGATCGATACTTTTATCGATTTTGTTATCGATATTTTTTATCGATTTTGTTATCGATTGTGTCATCGATTTTGCTATCGATTTTGTCATCGATACTTTTATCGGTTTTGTTACCGATATTTTTATCGATTTTGCTATCGATATTGTTATAGATTTTTTTATAGGTTTTATATTCGATATTTTTATTGATGTTGCTATCGATATTGGTATCGATATTTTTATGGATTTTTTTATGGATTTTGTTATCGACTTTATAATCGATTTTGTTATCGACTTTGCTATCGATTTTGTAATCGATATTTTGATAGATTTTGTAATCGATTTTGTAATCAGTATTGTTATCGATTTTGCTATCGATTTTGCTTTCGATTTTGATATCAATATTTTCATCTATTTCTTTATCGATGTTTTTATCGCTTTTGCTACCGATATTATTATCGCTTTTGTTATCGATATTTTTTGCTTAGTGTGTGCTTTTGTTTTTTTACTTGGATATGCTCTTAACCATACCACGTATTCTACGTTTAAATTTAGCGGCCGATACAGCCTGCAGACCAAGACGAAGGCGCTGGACTGTTCCTTTTTTTTTTTGTCTTTGATAAGTCAAGAAGACACAGAGCCGTGACGAGTAAAAATGGCATAATGCTTTGGTTATTTTGGAAAGCAAGAGCGATTAGCTTATAACGCATTTGAGAACTATTTAGTTAAATTGTTACTTATATTGTCTTTGTTCGATTCTTTTTTTTTAATACATTTATACATACACACGCTCAGTACATTTTAATAGCATCGATTTCATTTACTTTATCGGCTTAATTGATGTAGATAAAGTTAGAAAACCACATTCTAAAGAAATTAAAAAAAAAAAAACTTGCCAACCTTTAGTAAATCAATTTCTTACTTTCCCCTCATGCCTGCGATTCGCATGCAGTAGTTAGATTTTAGTGGCAAGCGAATGTTGAAAGGGCTATAAGAAAACTTACGCAGCATTTACGGCCACAATTCCCCACACTTGGTGCCTTTTCAATCATTTAACAGAAAAGTATAAGAAACTCAGTTTCTACTGACCCCCATAGTTTCAATAAACTCTACTTCATATCTCAACTCAACTATACCCCAAAGGGCAAACGCATACATACATACATACATACATACATACGTATATAGCAATAAGCATCTATGTACATACAATTTTTTTGAACGAGGCAAGATTTGAGAAGTTGCGCTCTCCAACACACAGCCAGCTACAGCGGTCCGGCTGGCCTCACAACTCATACACATTCACATTAACATTCATTTTTATTATCCTTCATTTCGCCTTGAGCCCTATTTTCGATGTAAAGAGCGCACAAAAAAGTTTTTGTGGTTCTGTCGTCTATGTCTTAGAAGCTACACATGCTTTTTAGAAAGTTAAAAAATGCATGGAAAGGGTAAGCTACAGCATCACACTCAATAGAATGTTAGTATGGTTGTGTGTGCTCGTAAGGCGAGTTCAGCTATCTTTTAGACATAAAACTTTGCAGGCAACAAAAGGAC